TATCATACTATCGTATTAAGCAACGCTTAATTAAAAATGCGGAATATCTTTTTCTTTTCAATTATGATGTCATTATCATTATCAACTTGCTTATTAATCAATTAATAAAACATCGCTTGTATGTAGTTGCAATAAAACCACTAACTGAAATACCTCATAACATAGATAATAAGAGTGTGTCTCTAGAAATCACGGGACTACCACAAGTAGGCTGGGCCAACTAGCAGGTTATACAACTCCAATCCAAAAGTACTAACATAAAGTGTCATGGACAATCCCCATGCTCACTCAAATAAGGCAACAAAGCCCAACATCAGTCTCAACATAAACAACATAATCTCAAAGCGGGAAACATAAACAGCATCTAATATAGTCATGCTAGCATAAAAAGCAGTGACAACATAATCAGCTAAGCTCCGGCCTCCTGCCGCCCGAGGCATCAGCCCCCATACTACCTGATCCTGAAATAAGCATTCCCAAAACGTGAGATAAGATCTCTAAACTAGAAATCTCAGTAAGACAGTGAGTCCTCAAGGATCTTCTACCCCAAGCTCACTTACATGTGCAATATAAGTTCAAAAGCAGTTTATCATCATCAGTTCTAAAATAGTGCAATGCAGCAGATAATCATGTCATGTGTGTCAATTCTATTCTACTGGCCAGAGAAATGCAGGATTTATATACGCCAAATACCCACACATAGTGCAAGACGCTACTTGCATCCACCCCGGATCACCGTCTTGTATGACGCCACATACTCAGGCTTACCGTCAAGATGGAACAACACATGCATATTAAAAGCCATTACACATAAAGCTCAACAACATTTCAAATATCCAAAGCATGTAACACAGCATGCATATAACCATACCCCCATGGGACATGGTGGAACCACAACATGGCTAAATCGAGGACACAAAAGCTTACCTTGCAAGCTAACTATCCAATGCCAAGAGTCCACACAAGCTCAAGGCCCACAAACAGCACAATCACAATCTGCCCATGCCATCAATAATCATAGCTCAGATTACACTAAGTGATTAAGTCTTTCTTACTCATTTTAACTCATTACATGTTGTTTCTGCAGGAAGTATTCGAATACTCCACGAGTAGTATTCGAATACTCCAGCTCTCCAGAAAGTATTCGATTACTTTCACTTAAGTATTCGAATACTCACCAGTATCTGAATACTTAACCCCCCCAGTATCCGAATACCTCAGTATCCGAATACTAAACTTTACTGTATTCAAATATTTTCCAGTATTCGAATACTTCTTCAAAGGTAACCGAATATTTTTCTTCCCATAAAAGTATCCCAATACTCCAGCAAGAGTATTCGACTACCTAATGAACAAGTATTCGAATACTACACGAAAAGTATTCGAATACTTCTTCAACAGAATGCAGAAATTCGAGCCAACTTCTGCATAATCCCAAATTTAAGGGTCCAAACGCGATTAGGAGTCCAATGACTCCCTAAACAGATATAACCCAACATGTTATGAACCCAGAAACACATTCTTTTACTCAAATGGTTAAAGTTCCTCTTTTTAATAGATTAAACAAGCTTTAGGCCTCAAAATGACACTTAGGTGATCATGGCTCACCTCAAGAGCTCAAAACTTCGAAAATGAAGCAGAAAGGAAGCCTCCAATGCAACTCCAAGGTTCTGACTTCACAAGGCTACGAAAATACACTTCAAGCTAGTCCCTTTGTGCCAAAAGGTGGCTTCTTGAAGCCCAAGAAGCCAAGAGCAAGCCCCACTCACACAAACTCAGACTATACAGCCCCAAACACTCTCAACCAACAGCAAGCATATTCTCAGAAATGCTTCACAACTCACCACCAAGGTTACCCCACACACACCCAAGTGTTTAAGTGGCAAAAACAAGGAGAAATGTGACACCTTTGGCTCACAAGAGGAAGGGAGATGAAGGTGGCAACGGGAGGCACAAGGCTGAAGAGAAATCAGAAAACTCACGTTGGCAGCCTCCAATATGGCCTAGGGTCTAGTGCCATTAAGCATATATAGGCGGTTAAGTCACTAACACACAATATTAGCTTTAATTGCTACGCTTAGCATTTTAATCCCAAACTTTGGATTCTTAACCTACTGAATTGTCATATTTTTATTATATTTTTCTGAGCACTTTTCCGGTACGCGCTTTTCATAGGCAGTACCAGTTTCCGTCACCAGTTCTCATCATTTGGACTCGAAACTCGTTTTACAAGTCCTACATATTATTCTAGTAATTATCATGCACTTACTTTAATTTTTCGGGATACTTTTTCGGTACGCATTTATACCGACTAGCGGAACCGGTATCTGCACTTTTCTTCCGAAAAGTGACTTTCAGCATTCTTACTCACTAATTATAATTACTAAATCCTCATAATAATTATTAGGGTCAATTATGGAATCATTTCCTAATTTTGCATAATTAATTAATTAAATTCCTAAATTAACGGTGCGGGTTCTTACATTCATCATCTCAAATATCGTTACTAATGTAGTACATAACATCCTTACCAACTATACTCTCTACCCTGGCTATCATCCGATGAATGCATTGGCTGCCTTGTAGCCCCAAATTTTGGTGAATTCTCTCCTTGAGCTCGTTGTATGTAGTGTTCCGTTTGATTTTCATCATTTTTGTTTTTTCTTCAAATTGAATATCATTGGGACCTTCAAAATGCCTCCCATCATGGTAGATCACTGTAACATTCGTGTATGAACTTGAGCTCATCTTGCACACGAAATTAGGACCAGGGTTCGGATTTTTGGGGTTTGGGTTCAGATTTTTCCAACAAAAAAGGAATATGTAAGTGCAACGACAATGATTTCACAAGAATAAGCCTTTAGAGATGGTGAGATGAAGTAGCCTCTTGATGGGTTGGATTAGAGATGAGAAACGAGAGAGATTTTGGTGTAAAAAACTGATATATGTGAAATGAGACCAAGACATGTAGATATAGGATTTCTGACGTTATTTAATCGATTAAACACTGTGGCTTAATCAATTAAATCACGAGATTTATGTTTTCTACATTTTTTAACTATTAATCAATTAAGCTCGTGGTTTAATATATCAAAAAAGGGTAGATAAGTGGAATGTTTTAGAGGGGGAAAATGATTATTATTTAATTAATGAAGGGTAAAATGGTCAAAAAGCCTAACAACATCCCTTTGTATTTTTAGAAATTTAAAAAGTATAAAAATATAATAAAAAGGAGTAGGATATTTATTGAAGGAGATTTATTACAATTAATTATAATATTTTGATATTTAAATATTTATTAATATATTGACTGAAAAAATATTGGCAAATATTATAATTTAATGTGTCACGTATATTTCTTCATATTTTGAATATCAAACAGTTGTTTTATATATATCAATTGGCATGATTATATTTGTTGACAGATTATGACATTTTCAGTATGATAATGTATAAAAGTATTAATTATTCCAATTTTTATTGAATAAAATTAACCTAATTTTTCATATTTCAAGATTTCGTTTCGAAAATTTGATTCATATAATCATTATTTGAAAAACTCTTGAAAATTTTGAATTTGAATTTTTTTATTAATTAAAAAGAAATAAATAATATTTTGAAAATGATAAATTATTTGTTGTTTTATAATTGAATTATTTTTAATACATAGTTTATATAATATTAGATGATTTAATTTTTAATTAGGAATATCTTTGACATTTTATTCTATATAGTAAAGATATTTTTAATATTTAGTTGTTGAATGATACACGGCAAGGATATGACTGATAAATTTAAAATCACATGAAATTAAATGATACACGGATGAAAGTGAAGTTTTACCTTTTAAATGTATATTTATTGTGATACTCTCTATTCAAAGGAGGTGTTACCATATAAACATGTAAAATCCACAAATAAATAACATAATATTAAATTATAAAAATATTTTCAATACACATTTAACTGAACTTTTCTTCATTCCGAAAATGATAAAAAAAGACATTTTTATGTTTGAACAACAAAATTATAATTCTCATACAAAATTATTTTTTCTTTAAAAATATCAAATATATTAATACAAATTTTATAGTATGTTTATAAATTAATACATTATTCCAATCCAAACATAGGTCAATTATTAGCTTTGTAAGCACAGAACTCAGAGATGATGTTTTCAATGTAAGAAAAAATTATAAGTTATTTATAATTTTTATTTACAAATTAACGTTGACTGATTATAAAGGTCTATTCTTTTGTTGATTTTATAAGTACAACAACTACAGAATATGAATTTATAAAGAGATGAGAAATAATTATTTTAATCACTTACCGTTGATTTATCATCATTAACCATTTACTTATAGGCTTTATTTATCTCATATAGGAGAGTAGTTGTCCCCTATTATATACACAATTATGGGTGTGACCCATTTATTTATAAAAATAAAAAATAAAAATTAAGCTACATAAAAATTGATGGATGTATAGGAAAGAAAATTACTTTCTAACAATATAAGAGTATCCCTTTATTTATTATTAAAATTAATGCTTTGTGGAGAGTTATATAGCACTTATATTTCAAAAAATTTGAAGTTATCCTACACACCCTAGTATTCCAACACGCTCAGATATTTATAATATTTGAAATTTCATTACTTATCATAAACAAAATTGATTGATATTTTACTAAATTGATATAATAAAATTTAAAAATGGATACCGAATAAAATTTACTGAAATATATAAGAGATTTTCAATATTCACATATTATGTTTCTTTGTAAAATTGATAAATAATATAAGTTTAATATTATTTTTTTGTTAAATAATTAAATATAAAATATTATATGTTATACTGATATAATTAAAAATATTATTTAATATAAAAAATGATAGAATATATTAAAATATAATATTTTTTTAATATTTTTTAAAATTAACATGATCCAAATTATGGGTAGAGGATGAATAACAAGACAAGACACAACGATAAACCCAAAGTGGATTGTACCATAAAGTCACGAAACATTTTCGAAAGCGAAAAAAGAAAAAATGGATGCAAAAAAGGAGTCTCCGGCACCGGAATCATCACCGCCGGTGTTGCATCCGGCGGTGGAACCAGTCTCCTATCTTCTAGGAACATGGAGAGGCCAAGGAGAAGGAGGCTACCCCACCATCCATTCCTTCTCCTATGGTGAAGAGCTTCACTTCTCTCATTCTCCCAACAAGGTTTTCTCACCCTTTTCCTCTCTCTTTCTGCATAAACATTATCTGCGTCTCTCAAAGTTCTGTTTTTTATTACTGGGTTTTGGTATTTAACCATTGATGATGTATGTGCCGAGGACTTCAATTGTGTATGGACTTCAATGTGTTACTTGTGCATTGATTTGGTTTACTTGTTTGGTTTTTAACCATTGATGATGATATGTGCTGAGGACTTCAATTATGTATGGACTTCAATGTGTTACTTGTGAATTGACTTGGTGTATTTGTTTTGGTTGTGTGTGTGTGTGTGTGAAATGGGTGTAGCCTGTCATAGGGTACACTCAGAAGACATGGAAACTCAGCTCTGGAGAGCCTATGCATGCTGAGAGTGGATACTGGCGTCCTAAACCTGATGGCACCATTGAAGTTGTGATTGCTCAAAGCACTGGTCTTGCTGAAGTTCAGGTATTGTTTTTCAATTTGATTTGGTTTTGTGTCACTGATAAACTGTTCATACTTGTGTCTCTATATTCTGAATGCTAGAAATGGTGGATTGGAATCTCCTTGAACTCTTAATTAGCCCCTCAGTTTTCATTTGGAGACAGCTCAAGTTGAATTAATAAAAAAAAAAAATAGAATTCATGGCCTAATTTAGTTTTGATAAAGATTACCCTTTGGACTAGGCCTAAATCCTTGAATTTATTTCCTACTTGTCAAACTATAACAAGTACATCTTTTTTCTGCTTGCTACTAATAAGATCCTATAGCATAAAAAGTCCATCCCTTGCTACATTTAAGTCCCAATTCCCTAACATTGACAAGCAACCAGTTGTTGTCAGTTTTTCGTTGGAGTAATATTGCAATTGCATAAATTTCTAACTATTTTCCTTGATGTATGTAATGCGTTATGTATATCTTGTTCATGTTGCCCTATTAAGATATATTCTTCCAAATCTGTGCTGGATTTGTGGTTTTCTACCTTTATTAACTTGTTTAGACATGAAATTATTGTTTATTTCATTGTTTCTAGGTTCAAAATACAATTTTCTTTTTTATTCCCTTCTGCTGCCTTTTTTCTGCTCCTGACGTGCTGCTTGCATATTGTGCTATCCAGAAAGGGACATTTAGCACTGAAGAGAAAGTCATACAGCTTCAGAGTGAAATAGTGGGAAATGCTTCTAAGGTAATTCAATTGGTCTTTCCCAAATGCAACAATACTAATGTTTCATGCTTATAAATCAATTGTTCACATACATCACATTCTGCTAGTAATTGAATGACTAACTTTCAGTTAAATTTCAAAGAGGTAGAAAATAACCATATAGGTAAAGTGGCTTCTGGTATTATGGATATTTATCAAAAAATTGTATAATGGATGATTTTCTGGATTTTTTTTTTTATCACCGTCTATGAGGATTATGGTTACAGCAAACAGAAACTTGATAGAACTTCAGAGAGAGAGGAGGAAAAGGGAGACTATTGAACATTTGGTAGATGAAGTCATTCAATGTGCTTTTCAGTTTTCTTGTATATTAACTAAGTTGATGAATCATCGATCGCTCAATCACTGCTTGCTTATAATAATCCATAGTGAAGTAATACCTCATTTTGTTTTTACTTCTTTCTGGCCAAAAGATTTTGATCTGATATTACCATGCATGTTCTTATCTTTAGTTTCAGATTTCTCTCACTAAATGATATGTTTTGTGATTGTCTACTCTAGGAACTACTTCCTATACCGTCCTTAACTCTATACCCTCATGCAAATACAAATTAGATAACTCAATTAGATTAAAAAAACAGCTTATACAAGAAGAAAGTTGGGTCTTAAATGAATTGCCTCATTTTTCCCTTTATGTGGTGTTCCTATTTAAAATGGTTTATGCACTCTACACAGGTTAAAGAGATAAGAAGATGTTTCCAGCTGGTTGATGGGGTTCTTTGTTATGATGTTCAGATGGCTACCAATACAATAATACTTCAACCACACTTGAAAGCAGCACTGAACAAGCTCTGAAGCAAAACATCTTCCACATTGTGGAGCCATCCAATGTGACTCTTTTAGCAGCAATTTAGGCCACTCTGGTAATTTTCTGGAAATTAGAAAAAATGAGCTCGTCTACAACCTATGTAACACGATTCTGTGTTTGCCATGTTCAAAAGTATTGTATACATGGTTTTGAAGACCATATGTTTGACTGAACCTGACATCATTTAATTTTATTGAAAACAGTCAAGCAGGAAATATTGTGTTTCTCCAATTGTAAATCATATATTCTTTCTTTGCTATTTCATAGTCTGAAGCTATTATGGTGCATTATAACTACTGGTAAAATTTGATATTACAGAAAAGTGAAATATATTTTTATTTTGCTCACTATCTTTACATTGTTAGAACACATGCTCAAAGGGAAACTGTTCTTTACCATCCACTATTGTTTTTGGCGCTTCCACCTGATGAACCTGCATAAGGAGTTGCTCATCATCACACTCTTAAACTTCTTTTGTTTTTATGAAACCTTGTAGTTACTTTGAGCACAACAACCTTCACTTGCAAGGTTACTAAGAGCCTTGAGCTGTTGTGGAATAGAGTTAGTCTGTATCACTCGAAGGGTGAAGTAGCTCATTGTATGGTGCTCAAGAAGACAATGGTATGAACCTGATACAAACCTTCTACTCAAATACAAAAATAACACAAGAACAAGGATTTTAGCCAGAATAATCAGATTTTATATATTCTTCAAGAAACAATTTCAATCTAGAGACAGTAAAACAGAGACAATTACAAAGAAAGGAAAATGACAATGAACTTGGAAATGAAATAATAATTCAGGAAGATAAAGGATAGTGTGAAGCAATTGGAGAGACTTCGCTCTCTCCCAAGGTCCAATTCCAATATACCTTCCAGATGCCCTTCATAAAGCTGATCCCCTCCTCTAAATAGAACCAGCTCCCCCAATGTGACCCAATGCCATCCCATATGACGTCTAACAACTTTTGCTAACTCACCATTATGCAATATTCTCCCGCTTCTCTTTCTTTTATACACCCTTCTAAACCGTTTGCTAACTAGAATCATATTAGAACCAAAGCTTTTGGAGAGTCACCGTAGGTGCTTTCTCAAAGTATGGCTGAGAGAGGGGGAATGTGAAAGGGTATGGCAACTCTAGATTTGAGTAGAGTAACAACTTATAAAATGTATGTATGCAAGGTGTCTCTTCAGGTGAAGAAGAGGGGTATATATAAATGAAAAATATTTTCTAATAATATGAGAGAGAATGAACTTAATTATTTTTTTCCACTACCTCACTGTTGTGAGTGAGGGAATTGCTCCACTAGTTGTACTATAGGTGGCAGGGGTGTTAACGGGTCGAGCCGAGCCGAGTTTTGATCTTAAAAGGTTAAGCCTGTGTTTAAATGTGTCGGCCTTACCAAGTCTGTTACCTGTTACGAATATAATTATCGGCCTGTGGCCTGCCTTATTTATAAAAAATAAAAGCCTGATTTAGCCTGTTAAAAAAAAATAAGACAACAAAAATTTATCCAAACAGAATATACAATCAACAACACTAGTAATTCTATAAATATTCATAAATTCAATGTATACCCAAACAACATAATATAGAACAAAATCATTCAAAAAGTTTGTTTAACTAATAAAATAGGGGTGAAATGGATTGAGAGGAGAGAGAGGACTATTACAAATAGTATAAAAAATAAAAATAAAAATAAAAATTAATATACTAGGTCAGCCTGAGAGGCTCCAAGACCGAGCTTTTGAATTGAAGCATGAGTCCTTTTTACTAAACAAGCTTTTATACAAGTCCAAGCCTGATTCCAACAACCAATATTAGGCATGTAAGCTCAAGCCTTCACGAGCCGAGCTAAAGGCTCTTGGCTCATTTATCACCGCTAATAGGTGGACCGTGCAAGGGAGTGAGAGATCATCTACATTAAGGTCTATATGCTCACTATGAAGAGGCAAGGGAGTAACCCTTTAATGGGCTTTCAGGCAAGCCCATAGAGCAATGAAGACCGGTCCAGAAGAAGCCCATATGTATCTCTAATCTTCTGTAACCAGTTGTGAACTTACATACAGTGTAATGGGGATTGAACTTAATGGCTTAAACTAAGATAATGGATATAGCCAACACTATGCAAAATGAAATTCAAGAGCACCGTAGAGTGCTAAACTTCCTTCTGTGTAACATAGAGTGCGTATTCGTACTGGAAAATGAAGGTTTTTATTAACAAAGACGTTATTTAACAAAGGAAAAAAAAATCCAAAATGGATCATTGCAAGTTATTTATATGTTATTTTTTTCTTGAGTATTAAGGGTCACAATTTGATTGATAAAGTTCATAAAGTAAAAGAAAAAAAAATGATCACTTTTAATTGCTGACTTGATCTATTAATGAATAATTGAAATTTTTTACATTATGTTAAAATCAGACATAAAATAATTGAGAATGAATTCTCTTATATCATATGATATCATATGAAATAATGAAACAATTTCAGTTGATTATTAACATTTCAATGGTGATTTCTCTATCCTTAAACTGGGCCATTGCAAGACTTTGAACCAACGAAAAGACCGAACTTGATTTCTAAAAAAAAAAATTGTACCACACCTAATTACTCTTAAAGGGTTGACGGAGGACCCACACTTTGAGTGTGGGGGACACATCTTGGGAAACTCAATAAAAGCCTAATCTCTTTCGGCAATGTCATGTGGCATTCAATTTACCCTAAATTTATGTGTATCATATTTGAAATTTCTTTTATACATTTGTATGATTTAATATTTTCAAAGCTTCGTGATAAGGGTTATGTGGGTGTCACCCAATATTCTCCAAAATTAACTCAAGCAGGATTTTTTTTCTTTAAAAAAATTTTACTTGTCATGATCAAGTTAACAAAGTGAGAAAAAGAATTAAAATTAAAAACCTTACAATCTAATTATTTTGCCTGCGTAAAATCCCATAATTTTGTCAATTTAAAATCATCCTAAAATTCATAGAAAAATTCCTAAAATCAAATATGATGATATCGATATCTCATTTTTGTAGGCTATCCTACATACTAATGGATGATATATTTAAATATATTCCCTTTCCACTCTAATATCCACTGTAGCTGAAATGAAATTAAAGGATAATTGCAAAAATAGAAAGAGATAACAAGCTAATACGCCCTGAGGCTGGTTTAGTGCAATTCTACAAGGGAAATAATACTCTCATACCACATGAGATACTCTCATTTTCCTACACAAATTCGTTTTCCGTGCCAAATAATTTTTCTTTTCTTTTTTAATATAAAATATGGGACCCACATTTAACTTCTCATTACTTTTTTTCTCTCCTACAATCCTACAACATAAGAAAAGTTAAACCCATTCTACAATCACTGAGCTCTCACAATCCAAGTTCCTATTTCCTAGCTTGCCTTTCTACATGACATCCACCCCTTAAATCCATCAGCATACATCAGTTAGCATCAGATGCCAGCTCAGCCTTATTCCCACTCCCACTCCCACTCATAATAAAATGTCTAACAGAATACCCATTTGTTGCATTTGTTTTTGAGTCACCATCTGCATATAACTCCCTACAACACTTCCTATAACAAACCTTTATTGGGGTCTTATCAATACTCCCCCCAAGACATTCACCTTATCCTCAAGGTGAAAGACTGGAAATTGGGCATTGAACTGAGCTGAATCTTCCCATGTGTTTTCAAAGGAAGGTAGGTGGCACCATTTAATTAGAACCTCTGTTCGCCCCATAGATGTTTTATGCCATTCCAAGACATTCTCGGGCTGTACCTGGCGTTCCCAATCTTCAGTTAACATGGGTGGTAAAGGTTGCACTACCGTTATAAGTGATATGGCTTTTTTCAAAAGGGAAACATGAAAAATATTGTGAACCTTGGAATCATCAGGTAGGATTAATTTGTAAGCAATGGCTCCAATTTTAGCAGCAACTTCATAAGGCCCATAAAGGCTTGAACGAAGCTTTTCATTCAGCCTTCTAGCCAGTGAACTTAAATGGTAAGGCTAAAGTTTAAGGTAAACCATGTCTCCCGCTGTGAACTCAACATCCCGTCTATGTTGATCAACTTGTAACTTCATTCGATTTTGGGCCACTACAAAGTTGCTGTTGTATCTCTTGCAAAATCAGATCACGATCTTGTAGCATGGTTGTCACCTCATCCACTGGGGATATTGCAAAACCAGATCTGAATAGAGTGGGTGGTTCGCAGCCACAAAGAGCTTTGAATGATGTGGTACCCGTGGCACTCTTGAAGGCAGTGTTGTACCAAAAATCCTCCCAAAGCAGCCAAGAGGGCCAAGTCTTGGATTTAGGGGAACATAAACATCACAAATAATCCTCCAAACATATGTTCATAACCTTCGTTTGACCATTGGATTGCATGTGGTAAGCTGAACTGTTAAGAACCTTGAGGTCACCACTCAAAAGCTAGCTCAAAGGGTGGGAGTGCCCAAGGCCTTATAAACCTCACATTAGTTGCTCATACAACTAATGTGGGACTATATTTCTCAACACACCCCCTCACACGAGAGCCCACTGGGCTTGAAGGGTGGACAACATACAAGCCCACCTACATGTAAAAATTCCACTACAAAGAAAGTGGGAGGCGGTGAGATTTCGACCGCTCTGATACCATGTTAAGAACCTTGAGGTCACCACCCCAAAAGCTAGCTCAAAGGGTGGGAGTGCCCAAGGGCCTTATAAACCTCACATTAGTTGTCCATACAACCAATGTGAAACTATATTTCTCAACATGAACTATATTTCAGTTTAGTGCCATTGCATCTGAAAAGTTCAGCCCAAAATGCACTAAGAAACACTCTGTCCTTATCTCTCACAATGGATGATGGAAATCCATGCAACCAAACCACTTCTTTGACAAAAACTACAGCAACCTCCTTGGTTGTATAAGGATGTTTAAGGGGAATAAAATGGGCATATATTTACAATTGATCCACCACCACAAGAATGGTGTCAACCCCGTGAGCCTTAGGCAATCCTCCAATAAAATCAAATGAAACATCAGACCAAACCCGTGTAGGAATAGGTAAGGGCTGTAAAAGTCCTCTTGGTGACAAGGTAGAAGTCTTGTTCTGCCGGAAAAAAGAGCAAGCGGCAACATACTCTTTAATCTTCTTACACATGCCTGGGGTTGGCAAAACGGGCCAACCCGACCCAACCCGCGTTCAACCCGAAAAAAACGAGTCATATTAGGGTTGGCTCGAAAAATAAATGAGCCAGAAAACTCAACCCAACCCGACCCGAG